TCGGCTAATAAATAAGGCAAATGCAAGCATCATAGAATTATTATGTATGCTTGCATCACAAATATACGTCTTTCAGACTTTTGTATTATATTTCGCTGTCAAAAAATTTATATTTTCCCTTTATTCTTTCAGTGGCATGTTATGCATATACTTGCATATCCTTTATTTAAATATTCCTCAAGTTTTAACTTTGGTGATCAAAATTTAGAATCTAATTATATATATCGGAAAAATAAACACTAGACTATAAGATAGCTTTTTTTTTTTTTTATTTGATGCTATATTGCAATGCACAAAATAATTTCATTATTAATTTTTACAGATAGTAAATGAATGTAACGACATTGTGCCTAAGGAATTTTATAAGCAACATTACATGCAGGACGTTTCGCTATTAAGAGGATCCCAAATAATTGATTATTAAAAAGAAAAGAAAAAGCATTTTACAGGTGGAGTATTTACTATCGAGCCCACCACTCATTGTTTCAATCAAGCTTTATTTCCCAAATTTAAGTATTTCATTTCAACTTTAAATTTTTAATAACACAAGCAAGAAAAAATCATATAACAGATGTATTTCATAATTCATTTCTCGCAATATAATCAAATGTAAAGTCTTTGCTTTCACTTTTTAAGCAACAGATAGTTGGTATTTTGTCTTAATTTAAATCACAGTTAATTTGCATGTGGATGGACTAATTAGAAACAATACGCTCACAAAGAAGATTATCACGATTTAAAATGAGATAAATTAACACAAATGAATATAAAATATAAATAATCCTTAAACACGTTCGAATAACCGAATAAAATAATCATAATTTTGAAAACTCTTATGAAAGAGTCAAGAACTAAATTACATTGAGCATCTTAATTCGGGTTCGAAGCATGAATGTATGATGTTTCTTTTGATTTTCCTCATATGTTTTGTCAGTACTAGCTTATTTTCTTAAAGACCCCTTCTTATAAGAAAACTTTACCGTAAGAAAGCTAAAACCCCTTAGGCAGGTAATATTCACATATTTTACCATAATCGATAAATTTAAACACAAACTCTGAGCACTGTATAGGAAAAAATTGGAAAACTTTTTGAAAAACATACCATTCATTACACTCGTGTCGCTGGCATCTGTCAAACACATTTTGAGATTTTTTGTGGAATAATTGCTTGAATAATTTGAAACAAAGCACAGCATAATCAAAATCATGTAAATATTTTAATGAGTGTGTAACCAACCAATTCGCCTAATAAATAAATTTGTATTGCATTACCTAATACATCAAAATTCACGCACTATAACTAGAAAAAAACATAAAGAATAAGTTACGTCTTTCAAACCAAAAATAACCGAAATGTGTAAACTTAATAGAAGATCTAAATTTCTGCAGTATACTGTTTTCAAATCCATTCAGCATTGTAAGGATTTTAAATCGAAGACTAGGAAAAATAACCAGATCCTGTGCAAGTGTGCATGAAAATCAGATTGGTTTGATTTATTTAATTACGATTGATTATGCACACTAGGGCTATCTGCATAAGAGGAGGGATGCCTTAGTAGAGGACTTTCCACGGGAAGCTCGCTCGTATACACGTTACATATGGGGGAAAACCACGAAATCGCCCATGCAGCCAGCCCGTTCGCGGGAACCTCGGACCGAACTACCAGTGTTCAGCGACTTACCGCTCGACCGTTGGTGGGCCATGAAAATCAGAAAATAAAATTTCAACCATATATTTTCTTTTGTTATTTTTAAAAGTCAGAAATTACTGGGGAAGTAATGATACTGAATACATACTTAAATATATCGGATCCATTCTAAGCTACAAATTGGATTCGAAAATGGGAAGCCGAAACACCAATTTAATAAATGTATTGTGAAAATAGTAAAAGGTATTTAAACTTACATCGAAGACCTGTTTATGTCAAAAGCACATAAATTTCTGAATTCTGATTGCAGAAAAGCTTCTATCCTCGTACAGTATTATGAATAGAAAATTATTTCTTTCCGAAGTCACACATGATACAAGATTTCGGTAAAGTTTGACTTCGTTTTTGAGCATACTTTTGTTGTTATTTCATACTTTCCCTTTTTTTCTCCCCAAACTATCCTAGTTTTCCAAGATGGCATTTGAATTTCAAAGGTAAAAAGTTATTGAATTTGAAGTTATACTCTTCTTTGCAACAAGTTTAATTTGACATTGTTTGTTTTCTTCCGCAAATTTAGTATAATTTTTCAATGTTCTTTGTAATCGTCAGTTTCAATCTGAACATCTTTATTTAAGGCATATTCTTACAATCAGCATAGAACATTTTACTTCCAAAATACCGTCTTTATTATTCACGGAGTTTCCATATTTCACTTAAAAAGCTTCTGATTAACGTAAAAATGTAAGTGAATTTAATATTCATTTGCATTTTTACATTAATCAAGACGTTATTTTGACAGATATTTTAACACTGCCTAAACTTTATTTAATATCTGGAAATCAAGACATAAATAAAATAACTAGATAACACTGTTACTATTCCTTTGAATTAATAAGAGACATAAAATATATTCAATTCTGTATTTTTTTTAAGCAGAATAAAAATACGCATCATTCTTAAACAAAGTAATTACATAAAAGAATTTCTAGCATACCATTTCAACTCAAATTCAAGGTTTGGTCCTCTTTTCCCCAAAAAAGGGAGAAACAAGTCTTGAACATTTATCTTAGTAATGTCATAACATCGGTTTCGCTACTAAGCATTTGGTTTGAACAAAATATACAAATTATGGATTAATAAATAACAGACATTTTATGTATGACAATTTAATGTAATCAATTAATAACTGTAAGATCAAATTAAAAAAAGAATTCTTTTGATTAAAATCGATGGATAATTTCATCAATTTAATTTTTAATACGTTTCCTATTTTTTTACTCTGCATAAAGATGGCAATAACAGAAGCTCTAATAAAAGATTAAAGTAAAAAATCGTTTTGATTAAAAACTGCAAAAAATTTAATTTAACTGAATAGTTTGAAAATGTACGGAATTTTCACTTAAAAGATCTCCAGAAACTTGTTTTTCCTGGTTGAAGTCTTAATCAATAATATGTTAAGATGCTTTTGAGTCTACTATTTATTAAAATTTGCCATGATCTTGAAGACAGCAATTTGAGTTCTTAAGCTTTAATTTTTTTTTTCTTGTATAGGGAAAACATTATTTTGCTTTCTGTATGCTTTAGATTAAGAAAAGCAAACATTTATTTATTTTTCTCTCATTGGTGACAATATAACAGCCTCACTATGTCGAAACCAAGCAAAATTACATCGACGAAACATATTTTTCCTTTCTTATTGTTTATGCTACGAAAAATGTAAACGAGAAAATGCTCTGCTATTTAGCTGCATTGCCGAAAGCAAAGGCTTTTTCTATATTTTGTTTAATACTGAAAAACATTCAATACCACAATATGGAACTCTTAAAAAAGAAACACTTTTCCGCAAAAGTATTCAAGGAACGTTCCTGTATATTTGCATAATTTAAGAGTCTTCTGTTTAACATTTCTTAAATAAACGATTCACAAAAGATTTATTGACTCCATAATTAAATATACACAAATACGCACGTAAGTCGTGAAGTTTGCAGACATCATACAGGAAAGTAATATAGAAATAGTAGATATAAGTAAGACAGCTGAAAAAAAATCAAACAGGCTTTATTTGTGACCACACTACGGATCAATGAATACAATAAATGCTAACCTAGTAATGTAATAATGCAAATAATCTAAATATATGGTATGACCATAAAAGATATATGTGTAAGTAATTAAAAAAGCAATGTCAGATAAAATACCATTATAAATTTTCTTTTATAATATCTGCTAATTCTTGCAACTTTTACATTAGCAATCCTAAAGGAATGTAAATTGCGTTATATAGCAAGCCGTTTAACCATTGTCAGAGTTAATCTGATAAGTATTATATATTAAGACGAACTGAAATTGATCAACTCATATATAAAATATGCTAAAATTCTAAAATTTGAGGTGTTGTCAACATTCTGCCAAATTTATGAAAATCAGAACGATTGTTGAAGAATTATTTCAAATTAGTTTATTTAAATGCAAATAAGCTGAAAATGGAAAAAAAAATGAAAGCTCTCATATTTTATATTACGCCCAGAGGGGCGTTTTCTTAACGTTTTGTGTGTCACCTTTATTTATTAAGTATCATGTACTTACATATAAAATTCAATTGAAGCGGTGTCACAAAATATTTATAAACATCATATCTTTAGAATTTCCGATAGACAGTTCCGCGCACTGGAGATTATTTTTTCCCGTACAGTGTTGTCATTGCTCGCTTTGAAATCATTGAGTTTGTTAATTAGAAATTCGTTACGGTTTTACCAAACATGAAATAGATAATAAAAAAAAATCGAAATTTGGGTTTCCGGGTGCCTATGTTCGGATCTAGGATTGTGTTATTCTTAATTTGATGGCTGTAGGTACCGTCGTTTTTTCACAATGCGAGAAACATCCCTATATTCATGAAGATTCTTCATTGTTTAATTCCTTTAAATATAATACAAAACGATAATATTTGGTGGTAACAATTTAAAATGATATGCAGTTTATAGCGAACGACGCGAAACGCCATTTTCAGACTGATAGCCCTTTTGGGCTAATATTCCTTTGGATTAAACATAACAGTCTGAAAGACGACTAGTTAAATATAACAAAACACTGACATTTTTGTAGCTTCTATTTATAGGAATACACTGCTGGCCACCGTAAATGCAACATCCTGAAGAAAACATGCAAATAACATGAAATTTACAACATTAGCGGATGTGAGATATGCAAATGATTAGAATTTCAGCACAGAAGCACATCACGCGCGCCTGTGGCGCCACTTCAAAGCGCTAATTAAGGCTTGGAGTTTTCGACGATTTCAAGTTCGGCAATTGTGTTTTTCTTGTAGGTTTTTCAATAAAACGATCAATTATGCCGCCTCGTAGTAAACAACGATCACCATTTGATCAAGTATTCGAGTTCGACAGAGGAAGGATAGTGGCCTACCGAGAGTTGTGGATTACTTTCAGGGAAATCGGTAGTCGTGTTGGAAACCAAACAAATGTAATGTGGATATGGGACCGCTGGATGCAGGAGGGTACGACGAACCGACGTGTTCGATCGCATTCACCTCAGTGCACCACTTCACGTGATGACAGGAACATTGTGCGCATGGCAGTGACGGATGGCTCAGCCACATCACGAACCATAGCACAGTACATTCAGTTTGTAACGCATCATCCAGTGTCTGCGCGTATCATTCGATGCCGTTTACAGCAGAGTGGTCTGTCCGCAAGATGTTCATTGCTTCGTCTATCCTTGACGCAGAGTCACAGACGTCTCCGCCGCCAATGGTGCGATGAACGAAGAATGTTGATAGCAGAATAGAAGGAAATTGTCTTGACTGACGAGTCACGCTTCTGTCTGCAACACCATGATGGTCGGATTCAAGTCTGGAGACACCGTGGAGAGAGGACGCTGAACAGATGCGTTATGCACCGCCACACTGGTCCTGCAGAGGGTATTATGGTATGGGGCGGTATTGGATATCACTCGCACAGTCCTCTAATACACATCACCGGTACTTTAAACAGCCAGCGCTACATATCCGAGGTATTGGAGCGAGGTGTCCTCCCTTACCTTCAGGGCTTGCCCACAGCCATATTTCAACAGGATAATGCGCGACCACATGTGGCACGCATTGTCCAAGGGTTATTCGTCAATCGCCAGATTGAATTGCTTCTCTGGCCCGCTCGCTCTCCGGATCTTTCGCCGATAGAAAGCATGTGGTCCATGGTTGCTGAACGATTGACACAGATTACATCCCAAGCTGCCACACAGGATCGACTTTGGCAACGTGTGGAAGCTGCTTTGTCTGCTGTACCCCAAGAACACACCCAAAATCTCTTTGAATCAATGCCGAGGCGTGTGGCAGCGGTGATCTCCAACAATGGTGGCTACTCTGGGCTACAGATTCTGGAAGGACAACAATAGCGGCTACTCTGGATTCTGGAAGGAACCACACTTCACAGAAGTCTATAAATTTAATCATTTGATACTTGGTCAACATGTTATCTACTAAATTTTGTTGTGATATCGTTTGTCTTTCTTGGTGTTGCAATTTGGATGGCCAGCAGTGTACTTAATATACTATATCCTTAATATCAAATGCAAAAAGTATTTAGAAAGAAAGGATTTATTCAATAGTTATGATGTATGGACAAGCAAATTCGTTTATCCTCATCAGCACCGACCGAAGTTCACTTTTGGTCTTTACTTAATTTCGCTATGTTAATAAAATATAAAAAGGTCTGCAGAAATTTTGAAAATAATAAGTAATTTGAGTTCTTCTTTTAAAATAATAATGCAGTTTTTATATTATTTACTATTTTAGCTTGATTTTTTTTTCCTACCATTCTTTCCTTTTCAGGATTTTTTTTCCTTTTTTGCGACTAGTATTTTATTTTATTTATTTTTTTTTTTTTTTGCTTACTGTCAAAGAGGATACTGCGATTAACTATGTCGAGCATATTTAGCTTAATAATTCAACCATTATTTATTATTTGTTGCCTGCAAAAGGGAGATTTCCTTTCCTGAGAGTAATTTTTTCTGTATAATTAACGGTTTGATTCGACTGCGGGTGTGTTAAAAAATATATGCCAAAATATTCAAACTAAGTTATTTATTTGTTAATTTCATTCTAAACTAGGTTTTTTCTACTGTACTTTATTCAAAGCAATTATTCAGTATTAATATGAATATTTTGGTTATATTGACATTATTTTTCTTTTCAGAGCAGCATTCTTCAACTTTACCCAGAGTCACTTTCAGCCAGCCGCAAGTTCGAACAGAAGAAGGCTCCTTTGCGCAATTGCCTTGCGTGGCGCAAGGAAATCCTCCGCCAACATACAGGTACTTTTTTATGTTGTTTTTAATTTTAAATTATATGAAGCGTAGCATTAAGTAGGCAAATAAGAAAAATTAATATTTGCAGAAAAATTTAAAAACGTGATAATACTGATTGTAATGAATTATAAAAATGGGATATTAAAGCTTTCTCATCTTTCTTACTTAAAAAATTGCTATTTATGTTTTTAATTTAGGAAAAAATATAAATGTTTGAAAGTAAAATTACCAGAAATACTAAGAAGCTTATTATTTTTATTTATCTGTTCTGAGGTTTGCATTCTTGGAGCGCATTTCGAACAGATCTTTAAGTAAAGATTGTAAAACCTGACAGTAGTATAAACATCAGAAAGCTGCCCAAAATTCATCAAGACTTCATCGTCTAAAACTGAATCTCTACAACAGTTGTTTATCATTCTAAGAGGAAAAATGAAGACGATAACTTAGTTTACTATCGGACTAAATGATATCGCATCTCGTCATCACCACTTCCCATCTATTATGCTGGTAATAGTCTACTATGTTGTTAATAACATATCATAAGGATGAACAATTTTGAGTTTAAAACTGGATTTCGAATAATTTTGCATTCCAAAATTCGTCTCAGCTGTGTTTTTATTTTTAATCGGTGATGTCGTCATTACATAATTTTACGGAAATAACTTACATAACGTATTATCTATGTCAGCAGGTTTATTGGAAATCTAGAAATGTTATCGATCTCCGGACAGCTTTAATCGACCCAATGATCTTCAACAAATCTTTACACTAAGATGTTTAATTAAGATGATTACGTAATTTCTAATTTTAAGAAGATCCTGATATATTATATACTTTACGTTTGTACAGAACAGGTGTCAGCCTCACCCCATCTGGGAACATGCGAAATCTGGTTATTGAATAATCGAACTAGTTTCTTGACCATTTAATTACTTTTATTCCTAATAAAAGAGTTGTCTTCGGAATGGCGTATTGTCATTCTTTATGTTAAGCATTTTATTAATTATTACACTGTGCTTTCCTTTAACAGGAAAATAATACCATTTTCATTACCAGCTGAAGTATTTCTCCGTTTCTGCATATATAAAATAAAATGAATGGATTTGAAACATTTTATTAAATCAATGAATTCGTTTAAGTATGTTCTATAAAGTAATTCGTTTTTTCCTTCATCACGTCTTAGTGATTAAAAGAATAAAAAGTTAACCAATATAATGCATTTTTGAAATTTAAGTTCATTGATTTAAAATTTATTTTTGCTTTTTAACTGTTTCAACCTTATGTACATCACTCTAGTCCTATTATTATTCTGAATTAATTCATAGTCCCATCTGTTGAAATGGCTAACTTACTTTCCAAAAACATTTCCGTACATTATCTGCTTTACATATTATTTGGTTTCAGTTCACTAATTTAATTTTGTTTATACCCTCCTCGCACAATTGCCTAAATTGTTAATGAAGTTCTTCTGGCGGATTAAATTACGTTCAGGTCATGTGAATTTTTAATCTTTTAGAGCACTTAAAAGAAATCCATTGCCAGTGTCTAAAGGCAATTAACTGGGAGTGCAATTTTGAATACCTTGTTTCTAAGACAAGCGGATTAAATACGGATTTCAAATGATTATAAAACGAACTGTTCGCAGTAGGATAGAAGAAGAAGGAAAGAAAGGAAAATAACAAAATGAGAATGAAAAATGTGTCTTCGATTAAAAAAAAAAATTGGAAATGTCTTTGTTTAAGAAAACATGATATTCTTAGCAGATGGTTAAATAACAGAATAATTAAGAACAATTTACAAAAGTTCGTTAGACACAGAATTTTGTTATCAAAGGAGCTAACTTTATGAGTTTGAGCAAAATGTGCGCTATACATTTTATTTGCATTTTGAAACTTATTTGGAACTCTAAAGTGTTAAATACAATTTATATTTACTGTAAGCAATGAAACCGACAGAGAATGCAAATCTGCTTTATTCTCGGACATATTAATGTTTAAATACATTTGACTTTTTCCAATTTGTTTCTTTGAAATCTACATTAAAATATCGCGATATGTTAAATTTCCTCACGCTGGAAAATGGCTGTTTGTTGGATTGTATAAAATAGGAATTTCCAAATATTTTCTTGGTTCTTCCCCTTTTAAAATAATAGTTTTCGATATTGACCACCTTGCATTTTTTCTTTAATTTCTAGCATATAACATAATCATAATATAAGTAACTGGGCATAAATAACTTAAAGATAACAATTGGAGAAACAATATCAACGTTTAATCAAACGTATAGAAAAAAAAAGGGTTTATTAGATATATGCCTTATTATTTTTTTGTATTATCATTATTTTTAATTAAAGAAATATAAACAAGTTTTCAAACAAACAAAAAAAAACAGATTCTAAAAATACAAAAGCTAGATTTTAATTAATGTGAGGGCTGTGATTGATATACTGATGCAATTTTTTGAATATTTGACATAACATAATTCGTGTAATACCTCCTTCAGAAATATCTAGCGTTGTTTTAACCATCCGTTTTAAGCTATTTGCTTAAGACTGCTTCTACTAGGTAAGAAGTAGGGAATTCAATAATTTTCGTCTGGTAAGAACTTTGAGTCATTTTTATGGGATGACTTTTAAATACCCAAAGAGAGATTACCCAGGTGCCTTGAATAAGACTTGATATATTTGAGCGAAAATCTTTATGTCACTAAACAATATTTATTAATTATATTAATGCATTTTTTATTATCAATGAAATCTTGATTGTGACGATCAGTTGCCGGTGCATCTTCGGCCATCGACCCCCGTCGATACCTTGTTTATCATAGACCTCCTTTTAAATTACATCGACCCCCAAATGCTTCCATACCGACCCCTTCCGGAACCACTGATGTAGAAGATCTTAATTTTCGTACAATACAATAGTAGCACTTACCAAGTCATCAATATAATAAATTAGATGGAAAGTAAAGTAACTTGACATGACGTTGCTTTCTCACTAATGAACCAGAAATTTGGAACAACCTTATGTACAGACGCATTTAACGTTAAAGCTATAAAACTATTCAATAGTTTAATTTTAGAAAAAGTATTTTACTAAGTAGATAGAGTTCGTATCAGATATGTAAATAACTTCAACGCATTAGGTTTAGAAAATCTTAAATGAAATTTTCAAGAATAGTGACGTGATCGTGCAGTAAAGACTTGACGATGAAGAAGATTTTCATGATTAAAACTTTGAAAAACGTGTTAGGTTTTTTTCCCTTCCAAATCAAATCTGGAATTTGTTTGCAGATAAATGTTAGAGATGTAGAAACTACAATAGGCGTTTTTATGCAATATTTAGTCATTCTTCTTATTCCTTCTTGATAGATATCTACGTCATGTCGTTCCGCCTTCACAAAAGACCTCTATGACTTTTTGAATTTTATCAACTAAAGGAAATTGGAAAATAATTTCCGTTCTTATGTTGATAGAAAAAGCAAACATACCTTTTAGCGTTTAAATTTCAGGTTAAGGATAGGAAGCTAAGAAAGATCTGTAAGTTGTTTAAAGCGGCTGAGAATGATCATTCGATTGTTTTGGTTGCAAATTGCTTTTGATAGAAAAAGAAAATTCCTGAGACTTAACAATGAATCATACTGCTCTTATTTCATTTCCGCATTCCATAATAACTATGACACATAACCTCAAATTCGACTTTATGAAGGGCAAACTTAGAAATTCTCGCAATTAGTAATCTTCCTTCTGATTACTAATCTTCTTTAGAAAAACTGAAATGTTCACATGTAACCAGTTCCTTTCCTTTAGGATGCCAATTTCAGTTTTCATTTTTTATAGTTTTTAGTTTTTATCACATGTTTTCTTGATTTTACTATGTAAGAAGTGGGAAATATATTTTATCACAGCTTTTTTTAATTTTATGTGTTGTTTAATGAGCATGAAGTAGCCTGTATGGACAACTGACGTTCAGGGATAATTCTACCTTCAAGGGATATTTCTACCTTTCTACTATTCGAGACGTTCAGGTTCGTGTCTCGACATATTGCAAAATTATCGTCTTCACAAAATATAAACGATATGGCCAGCGAATTTCGTATATGGCTTGTGTCTCATGTAGTTGTGTACTAAACTTGAAAAAAATTACTGAACAATAAAAAAAATAAATAATACAGACACAGAAATGTCAGAACTGCAGTTCTGACAGACTCAGAAATGTTATTACGCCCTTAAAACTCGCCAAATTTCAAGTGAGCATTCAATTACAAAGGTAAAGTATTCAAAAGTGTATTCAATCTATTCCATTGCAGTCTTTTGTTTCTCAAATCTGTTTAATTTTCATGAACCACTTTCTTAATGTTTTGTTTTTGAAAGCAATAGCCATATAATTTACCTCCGCAATTACCTCAATGATAATATTTATTTTTTTATTGTTCAGTATTTTTTTCAAGTTTTTTTAGAGACTGATGTAAGAATACCATATCCTTTGAGAATTTCGCCTTTCAGCGTCCTTTAACAAATGCGTTGAAATTTAGGTAATAATTTATAAGATTTATTATAGGGCTACTTGTGTCTAAATCCAAGCATTATATTATTAATCATAACATGAAGTTTATGCATGCATCTGTTACCGTATTAATGCCAATAAATTTTGCAAATATACTAATAAACTTTAATTTACTTCATCTTCGAACTTATTGTAATTTCATCTTTCAAAATTAATGTTGGCTTAGAGGACAGCTAGTTTGTTTTTATATGCAAGTTCTACTTTGAAGTACCTTCATCAGCAAACTTGGATTTATAACTCTTACAATAATTCCCAATGCTTTCAAATTGAATCTTGGTATAAGCTTGGAATTGATGAAACCCAATGGATAAAGGGTCTTAAACGCCATCCTAATTACTAGTTCGATCGAGTAGGTTCGCACGCAGTCCATTGAGTATTGAATCATCCGAAGTATCGATGAAGTATATAATCCATATTAAATGCTGAACGTGTAATCCCAAC